ATGCATCAGTCAGCGAACAGACTATCTGTCTGTGTGTCTGAGACAAATCACATCTAGCAATCAATACAGTCAGTGTGCTGCTCAAATTTTGACAGGAAAAACTGCAGCAAATGATGCAGATTAAAAACTTTCACCTAAAATCTAACGCAAAGACATTTGTGAGACAGAAGCTGCTGACTCAAATGACTTTAAGGATGCATGTCTAGCATATATATAAGATTATTATTTATGTGCTGAGTCACTGGATCGAACATGTCGGGCCATTAGAGGATTCTGTTCAGAACGGCACCGTTACCTTCCTCATAACTGCCAGATGTCACTTCATTCCAGCATAATTAAATCAGAGATGTTTGCCTCAGCTGGTCTCTCTCCATTACAATAATGAATTCATCAACCCCATGGCTCCATTTCACAATCACATCTCCATACACTGTTTGGATTTGGATTTGGTGCAGTAATGGAAGGGGTGAACATGCTGTGATCAATAATATGTGCATTGCCCTGATTTACCTAACTTTATATAAGGATAAACACAGCTCCTCTGAGATTATGCGACGAGTTTGATGAAGAAAAGAAGCCGTTCTGGTGTTTGAAACCCATTTTTGCTGTGTTCTGTGAGACTTGCAGAGAATTTATGAGCTTCAAGTCCACAAAGAAAAGAAGCCGTTCTGGTGTTTGAAACCCATTTTTGCTGTGTTGTGTGAGACTTGTGGAGAAGTCCACATGCAGATGGGCCTCATGGGACAGAAAACGCCTGAGAGGCGGCTAATAAAAGATGATGCATGCTTACATGCATGCACATTATCATTATGCTCATTGTTAATTCACATTTGGTGCACAGGTAAAACAGCATGTAGTTTGGGTTTAGCTTTTGGATTCCACCTGATATACTAGTGTGGTGCTTCTAATGCTGGCTCGCAGACAGCAGGGAAAAAGCGATGTCACATAGGAAAAGATGGTTTGCATTGATCACGTGTTTTATGCTGTGAGCTATTGAGAGCATGACATTTTGTAAACAAATTTTCCTACATTCAGTCATGTTAATATGTTTGCATAATTTGGGTCTACGAATCCACTAACACTTTAGCATAGGGACCAATTCTCACTATTAACTAGTTGTTTATTAGCATGCCTATTGGCTGTTTATAAAGCACATATTCTGCATGAGCATATTCTACATCCCTAATCCTACCCAATACCTAAATTTACCAACTACCTTACTAACTATTAATAAGCAGCTAATTAGGAGTTTACTGAGGCAAAAGTCGTAGCTAATGGTTTGTTAATAGCGAGAATTGGACCTTAGAATAAAGTGTGATCACAAATTCTGTCATAGAAGTAGTACAAGTCAACATTTTGAATTTAAGGACTAAGTTTTTGTTATGTATGTGTTAATGTAAAATAGATCCTTGAATCAAGCGCTATGACAGTGAGTTTGCTATCTGAATAAAAATAATACTGGCATCAGTATTATTGAGTATTATGTGCAAGCACTTTTCATCACATGGTCAATTGCACACTTACAACAGTGGCTGCAATTAAGAAAGTGAAACCTTTGCCATCTAGCTAAGATGAACAACAATCCATAAGACATTGAAGACCGTCATTATTAGATGTAAAAGGCGCTGTGATGGGTGGAACTCATCTACTGAAAGCGGGGCATGAACTCTGCATGAACCTCATTACACTCAACAAAAGCTGCAAGAGAACAATAATGAAATGAACAGCTTCACAGATTATTTGTTAATTAAAAAGGATAAAGTGGAAACAACAGTAAGTGGATTCGAAACATGAAATGCTCGAGAAAAATTGAGAACAAAATCAGTCAGGAGTCTTTTTCCTTGCTTAAGTAATAAATCATCTACACTGTGTTTTTCCTGGTCCTGATGGCAATGAACATGTGAAATGTGTCTGTGACATCACGAGGAAGACATTTTAAAAGGTTGGTGAGGCGTGCAGCACTGATCGATAAAGCCATCAGCTCAGAAGTCCATGGGAAGTTATTTATACATTATTTAATGAGTTCACAGTGCTGTGCATTTATGAGCAGCATGTTTTACGGGATAGAGACCTATGGCTTATGTATGTTTACTATCATGTACTTAGTGCTACGCACCATTTCACTGTGTTTACATAAGCTAGCTGGTTCATGAATCCTTTAATCACAGAAGAGCACAGATTTATTGTTTGAAGGCTACACCTGAATTTCCTTACATTTAGTAAAAAAGAAGAGGCGGAATCCAATCCACAAAGAAGTGACAGAGGACCCAGTCGTTTAACCTATAACACTAATCTTCCACAGGAAAAACCTGCTACTATAGTGCTGCTACCACACAGGACATCAATATATTCAGCATTGTAAAAAAAAAAAGGCCAAGTTTGATTCTTGGCTTTACTTCCACTGAAATACTGCAGTAAGATACGAGTCAGGTTGTTCGTGCAAGCCATCTCAAAATATCCTAGATCTAAGACAGATACTGCCGCCTGTCTATAATACAGCTCAGTAGTGACTGATGAAGCTGTGAGGCCAGCGACTTACAGTCACAAACAACTTTTTATTCTCAAGTTCTGTAGAGAATCATCTAAAGTATGTACTGGAAGAACCCAGATACCAACACACTGATCTAAAGTCAATTTTGAAAAATTGACACTTAAGACTGGTTTTGTGGTCCAGGGTCACATTATGTATCTATACTGTTTACAACCATTACAGTCATTAACATACAACACACTGATCTAAAGAACCTTAATAAAACACCAAGAACTTCATTAATCTGCAATCAACCATTCAGCAACCTAAAATTCGCACACAACCCAAAACTGACATTAATTATAATACAGTGAATCAGCGTTACTGGGTTGTTCCACATATGTGACCCTGGAGCACAAAAGCACTCTCAGATGATGTATAAATCTCAATTTTGAAAAATTGACACTTAAGACTGGTTTTGTGGTCCAGGGTCACATTATGTATCTCTACTATTTACAACCATTGCAGTCATTAACATAATCTAAAAAACAACCTTTAAAACAACAGGCAAACAACTGCAGCTTGGCACATGAAATTTACAAAATTCACTATTTTCAAGTTACAAGCAGCTGTCTGCTCATTTTCTCCTCACATCAATCATACAGGCTCTCACAGAGAGATCAGTGCTCAGTGTTACCTGTGATTGATAGAATCACAGGCCTTTGAGTGATGAGGTAAATGTAAATTACTAGTACAATAAAGTACTAATGCAATCACATGTACAGAATGTGCCCATGATGCATTTGTCTCTCGTAATATTTCTGTCCTGTTCTTTCATCTCTCAAAATCTGCCGTGTATTTCATCAGGCTCAGAATCACGTTGACTACAGCTTCCTTGTTAGTCAGCTGATCTGCTGTCTGTTATTGATTTAGACTGAAATTTCTAACACAACCGATCGCATTTCCATTTCAGGCCTGGACAATTGATCACAGTGCTCGCAGTGGGAGGGTCTTTGAGCTTCCCAGCAGCACTTGCTTCAGAGGTGAAGTGAGGTTATAAAGATCGAGTCGTTGATCACATCCGGTCTGCGCAGAAATGAAGTCTGGTCAGAAGAATCAGAATTCAACATGAATGAAGCTGTGAGGGGCAGTGGGTTGGATTGTTGTGTACATTGACGAAGAAATGCATCCAGCAGACACAAAAAAAAAGCAATAAAAGTATAGTAGTTCAGCACAGCTCTGTTTTCAATCACATCAAAATAAATATGATGTTCAGCCTGACTAGGGTGCATTCTCTATTATAATTATTTCTCAATTACAAGTAAAGTGCAAGTTTTTTTGTGTAATGGGTTTACTTGAGATCTCCTAACAGATGCCTGGGAGATCTTGATTCTGTAATTGCTTGGTATTTAACACAAGCAGCCGCCTTAAACTTTGACAGATGAGGTGAGATAACCCAATCCTTCAAATGGATTAAAGGGCTTGGCTGAGATAAATCAATAATATCTGCATGATAATGAGCTGTGACCTGCAGATACATGCGCAGCATCATTATCAGACTGACCTCAGGAAACTTCTTGTAGGATGACGGTGCATCACTGCACACTGCTAAAAGTGGCAAAAAATTAATTAATTAATTAATTAATTTAAAAAAACAGAGGAGAAAAAAAATGAAGGGAGGGAGATCCGAGAGTGGAAGCCTGGCAGTCCTCCAGTGCACACTGCTAAAAGTGGCAAAAAATTAATTAATTAATTAATTAAAAAAAACAGAGGAGAAAAAAAATGAAGGGAGGGAGATCCGAGAGTGGAAGCCTGGCAGTCCTCCAACCGTTATAATTCTTCAAGCTCTCAAAGTCACAGTGGAGAGCGGATAGTATTACTGACGATCACCTTGCTCTGGAAGGGTATCGGCTAGTCTTTGTGGAGACTCTGACCTTGAAATGGAGCAGAGCCAAAAGGAAGTGTCCTCCTCTCACTGCAGCACTGCTGCATTATCATGCATTATATGTGCCGTGACTGGGGTCTGATGTAACTCGTGTGGGCAGGTAACCGGTAGTAGTGTTTAGATTTAACACAACAATCATCAAGCAGCTTCAAAGGGTCGTCTGCGTCACTATCAACACCCATCTCAGTTAGTTACGTCCAGGGCTTAGTCACAGGAGCGTGCAGCACAACTGACAAGATACAACACGTCTGCTTTGAACTAACAAAAGCACTCACATCCGGCTCTTGCCTCACTATGAAACATTGCTTAAATGTATAAACAATTAATGTTCTTTGATCCTGTATGAATGGACAGAATGTACTGAAAGGGGTTTGCGTAACCATTTTAGTCATTCAACATCTAGACCTACACCTAAAATTGTAATATGCATATGCAGTCAAATATGTGACCCTGGACCCAGTAGGGTCAATTTTTTGAAATTGAGATTTATACATCACATAAAAGCTGAACGAATAAGCTTTCCAGTGATTTATGGTTTCCAGGGTCACATATGTGAACACTGATGTGAACACAGATTGTACTTACAGGTCTTTGGAACAATATCGTTAGATTCCAGAGTTTGAGATGGATACTGGTTTGCAGTGCCATTCTGGAGGGGTTTGAAGGTGCTCTTGGGGCTGGGTGGAGACACAGAGTTTGTGTGGACAGTCACTGCTGCAGTGGGCGTAAAAACGGGCACCTTCGATGAGGGCGGCTCAAAGGGTCTGCTCGTGGACTCCCCTTCCACAAAGACCTTGGGCTGTCCTGGGACAGACGGAGTTGACGGGGTGGAAGGTGAGACTGATGTGGAGTTCTGAGTGAAGTCTGAATTGATTATAGGATCCTGTCCGATGCGCTTGAGATCAAGGTGGGTCGGCGGCTCGTATTCGAAGATCTTGTCCACAAAGACCCACTTGAGGCCGGCGGTGCAGAGGGCAAGACTTAGCAAGCAGGCCAGGATGGGCAAGATGCAGATTTTTTCAGAGCGGATGCAGCTACTCACCCGCTCCAGATCGAGGCACACGCAGCATGCAGCCACAGGCAAAGGCATGCATCCCAGAGGACCACTCTCTGAGCCGTCGCTACCCCCCGCCACGTCCTCCTCCGCTTCCTCGGGCGTCTCTTTCGTGGCCACCTCAGACAAGGCATCCGAAGGAGCCTCTTGAGATGCAAGTCCGGCAGAGATGTCCTCCGCCGCTTCCGACTTCATCTCCGCCCCTGGTTCGGTCGCTCAGAAGCAGCTGCGCAGGACTCCTCTAAAGCTGCAGCAGGCATGCTGCCTCGTAAAGTCTTCTTTCCATTATCAGATCAGCAGCGAGGGGGAAGGGACTCTACACGATACTCAACCGACTAACCTCGTTAATAAAGAGGAAGACTTCCGTGGCTCTGATTTCTGTCGCCTGGGTTCGTTCTCACATAGCAGGAAGAAAAACACAGGCAGCCAGTCTATAAATAAGGCATATGCTCCGGAGGCCGCCCGAGGGTGGATCCCGCCTCAGAGAGCGCTGCACTCACCTGGGGGCAGGGCTGGAGCGCCTGGGCTGCGGTTCATGCTCTGCAGAAAATGGCTGAATCATCCGAAAGCGGCAGCAGGTGCATGTCCGATCAAAGCACCGACTCTTGGAAAGACTTGAGCACAGAACCGCACGCAAGCATGAGTAGATAGGAGTGAGGATGACACACACCCCTGCTTTCACCCCTCCTCTTTCTCCCTCTCCTTATCCATCACACCAACACACACGTTCTGTCTCTCGCTGTGTCTGCTGTCTCGATCCTCTCACACTGCGAACACTGAGCACAGAGTCGGGCAAGTCTGCGCTTGATCCAATTAGGAAGAACAGCAGCGAATGAGACAGTCAGTCTCTCTCTCTCTCTCTCTCTCTCATTCACTCATCATCTTTCTGCCATTGATTCTGCTGTGGATGAGGATAGAGTTGTATCTCACACATTGATGGGCTGTTTCTCAGGGGAATAGGATGCTATTGTTTCTGTTAGTGGTCGAGTCATATGTTTTTTTTCAATGGCTAATAGCCGATACTGATATCTAGAAGGAAGGGGGGGACGATGGCAGATATTATATTCATGCATGGGTAGTTGATGCATAATGTGTCCACAGACTTTTTTTTTTTAAGATTTGAGATTTTATATTAATATGAATGTGTAAAATAATTTTCACTTCACTTATTCCGACATGCCAAATTTCTATTTTAGAAACGGTTTCTATTTCCGCGACATTGCAGCTGGAACAGCAACATACAAACTACTATATGACAGTGATAATCTCAGGTGATTATGTGCTTTATTATATTCATGCATGGGTAGTTGATGCATAATGTGTCCACAGACTTTTTTTTTTTAAGATTTGAGATTTTATATTAATATGAATGTGTAAAATAATTTTCACTTCACTTATTCCGACATGCCAAATTTCTATTTTAGAAACGGTTTCTATTTCCGCGACATTGCAGCTGGAACAGCAACATACAAACTAATGAATGACAGTGATAATCTCAGGTGATTATGTGCTTTATTCAAAGTTAAATGTGTCTAATGTGAGTTTGAATGTCATATTGCGTGGCCTTCTAGCCATACTGAAAGCAACAACAGATAGTTTACCTCAGATCTTAAAAATAAATAAAAGCAAACATGTACATTAAAACTCTGAACTCACTGTGAACCAACGAGTGTATCCCATAAAGATGGTATCAGTCACTCAGTATGTACATTTAATAATGTTAAAAAGGTTTAATATTTATGAATTAGATTATAAACTTATCCATTTCGTTGCGAGTGCAGTGCGCTTTCAGAGAGAGCCCGCCCACATACGCTTCTGATTGGCTGTGATATTTGATTGATTCTGTCGCGTCGCGTCTAGTGTGGACACCCAAATCTTCTCGCGTCTCGTATACTGTAGTTAGGACATTAGGACTGTAGTTAGAACGGTGTAAGGTCAGGCAACAAAGTTATTTTTAAAATGACAAATATTCAAAGTACCTGTTCTAATATGAGCCCATAAAAATGGCTGGTAGTTTTTACATGATCTTTAAATGATGGTGTTCAAACTCACTCTTTTATGCACACAAACATACACATTACTTTCGACTGTTCCTCAAGCTCTGGTGTGGGCTGATGACTTGTCACCATTATCAGATGAGCTGGGATTAGTGACCACACAACACGTGGCTTCGAGCCGCTGCAGGGGTAAATGAGGCAGACACAGAGGGGTTTAAGTCGCCTCAGGCCTGTTAAGCTGTCCCACGTCTCATTGCCATTAGGCTGGGATTCAAACGTACACGAGGGTGTGTGTATGTGTGTAGGGTCATAAGGTCAGGTCAACAGTGTGACCCCTCACTCTCACAGAAAAGGAAATGGACAGATGTTAACGTCCTATCAACAACTAAGAAAAAAGTCCTTATAAAAAGAAGGTTTACGTTTACAAACACAGCTGTGATGTGAAACAGTGTATCTCACTGCACAGCACCTGTAGAGACCAACTATTAACTTCAGTTTACATATCTACACCAGATGTACTTGTGAAGAAGGATAACAGTGAGTTTAATTCAGAAAGTTGCTCACTAAAATAAGCCACCTACAAAGGCTTTAGCAGGTTTTCTACGCATAGGTTACAGTGGACTAAGATTGTCATTTTTAACTATTGAATATGTTAATATTGAGTATACATTGATAAATTCTACATACTAAGTGTTGGGCTCCTTACTCAAAAAATTTTATTTATTACTCGTTACTAGTTACTGCTTTCAAAAGTAACATTATTACATTCTGGCAACAGTAATTAGTTACACTGCTAGTTACATTACCTTCACGCCCCACAAAAGTTGTAATTGCGTATCTTCCCCACAAGATTCTTCTAAAATGTTACTAATAATATATTTCTGCCTCATCTTTTTACCAAAATCCACATTGGATTGCAGTCAGAAGTTATTACAAACACTCAATGGTGATTGATAGTAATGTTTAAGTAAAGGTGTTATATTAACCTCATTAATTGTCATGTGTAGTTTGAAGCTAATTAGCTATAATTTCTCTGTTACCCATATACGATTATATTCCATGATGTATTTTATCAACATACGTTTTTTTATTATTATAGTAATAGAATTTACATTGTGATCAGAGGGATGTGGTGCATGAGTAAGCCATGTAATGCCAGAGTAATGCCACAACTTTCACATCGGTGTTCAGATCATCTTTTCTTCTGAAAAAATCTATGTAATGGTAATATTTACATCTGCTGAATGTAAGCTTTTTCCATATTTCAAGCTTGCCTGCTGCTTGTGTTCATGAGTTGTGAAAATTATGAAAATAAAGCTAGGAGTTATTGGTTTGTTTGGACTTCAAATCAATAAGGGTTGAGGCATCAAAAGTAACTATAGCTGTTTTATGGATGGTAAGTTTAAAAAATGACTCGTTTTAATAATTCAGAGTCGACTCGTTCTTTTGAGAGCCAACAACTTTATACACGGTGAACTTTCAGATTTAAAACTTTGCAGGATGTTTTCATTCACTTAGAGTGGTGTTACACACTGCATGAAAGGTCATTTTCAAAAATCCATAATAGGGGCACTTTAATATTATTACTGAAATCTTATTAGTAATTAGTTACACTACTAGTTACTGCACAAAGTAATATTATTACTGTAACTAGTTACTGCTCAACACTAAATGGTACATGTCTATATGGCATAACTAAATATAATTTATATTGTTCAGATAATAAATGCCAGTGTATTCAGAGTTACTACGGTATCAGTATAAACAGTATACCGTATTGGCCCGAATATAAGACGACCCTGATTATAAGAC